GTGTGGGTGGCGGCCCTGAGGCCTAGCTCTGGTAGGCAAGTAATCTAGTATTTCACTTTCTTGACAAAAGAGGCTATTTCATCTTTTTAAAAATATGAACCTAGATCTTCCCAAAGGTTTTCATGTCGTTCTCCTGCGGCTGGCTTCAACGTCAAGGGGCTTCTGAGGACTCAGGATCATTTCAGAGCACCCACTCAGCACAGAAGGTTTCTAAGTCAAACACCACTCCGCTGTCACACGGATGTGGGCTGAGGAGAGTGAGGTGAGGCTTCGGGGCCAGTCACACACAGGGCCCATTCCCTCCTTGCACTGTTCCTTTTGGGCTGGGAGTGGGCCAACTCATCTTTAGGGCCTAACTCTTACACATGGCACACAGTAGGTGCTCAAGGCTGTGTTGCTCAGAATTGACTTGTATGGAGGCTACTGCAAAGTTCAGCTTTGGAAGGGAAGAGGGCAGAAAGCCAAGTGAGCTATGCAGGCAGACTTGGTCAAGGGTAGACCACAGGCCGTGAAGGCCAGCCAACTGTGGCTAAGCTGTGCACGGCAATGTCCAGGCTGGATGATGTCAGCACAAGTGTGGCTTGCAGGTGAGCCTGTGCATAGCAAAGTGTGCAATGGCCTTTACAGGAAGTCATTTAGATGTCCTGACACAGTCCACAGCGAGGAAAGCTCGAGGAAGCCTTAGCATCCAAACTCCTCATGTTAAAGGGCAGGAAACGAACGTGCAGAGAGGAGAAGGGACTTGCCTTGACCACAGAGCCATTTTTTAGCAGTCCAGATCGGAACGCAGGTGATCCACACCCTGGCTAGGGCGCCTGCTAACCCACCAGCCTGGCTGCCAGGCTCGAGCTGCTGCTGGCCATTGGCTGATGACACTGGCCGTGTCCCCAAAGGGCAACCAAATGCCACAAATGATGCTCCTGAGCCTTGAGGCAGAGTCCTACTAATTTTACTCTGTTGGTTTCGTTAGCTCAGAAGACCCTCTTGGATCTTGATTCCTCGTCCATCATATAACTAGCAGTCCCAACCCAGCATGGACAGCAAGGTTCTCTCTTTAGGCCAGTCACCCACCAACGTCTGAACTGAACACAGGACCGATGAACCTCCCCTGAAGGGTGGTTTTCCCTTGAAATCTTAGACGGCCACTCTGTGCAAGTCCTGTGCTGACCACTAGGGGGAAACAAAGTTAACCAGTGACACACATCTGGAAAGCCCAGGGCGGTTTCCACTTTGATTCCCAGGACATCAGACATTACAGCAAGAGAGACACTCCTGCCATAGGCGATGCTTTCATCCCCATTAAACAGATAACGGAACTGAGACTCAAGGAAGGGGCCTGCCCACTGCTGCTTAGCTGGTCACTTGGAGCCTAGACTCTGACCACCGTCCACACTCTTTACCTATTTACTGTACCACACGCCCAAGCAATACATACAAAAAGCTAATTATAGCAGCAGGAAAAGGACATGAGGGCTTCTACATGGGGAATACCTTGCCTTTGAAGTTCCATGCAGTCTTCGGGCTGGGATTTTACATTTTGTAAAAAAGAGAGAGTATGTCGCGGGAACTCAAATGTGTGGCATCTCAAGTGTCCAGCTGTTCTGCTGGGCAAGCCCTTCACATGCTATTCCTCCAACTCCCACCTGATCTTTGAGGCTCTTCTTGGGGATCCTCCCTAGTAGCTGTTCTGGACTCCCTCCCTCTCCCCCAGGCAGGACCAGCATGTCCTCTGTGCTCACCCCACTGCCAGCATTGCCTGGTCTAGCTCTGCCTGCCCACAAGTATGGCAGCCGCTGGCCACATGTGGCTACTGAGCACTTGAAGGTGGCCAGTCCACACCGAGATGTGCTGCCAGTGCAAAGTCTGATGGGTTTTCAAAGGCTTAGTACGAAAAAAGTAAAATATCTCATTAATAATGTTTTTCATTGATTACATATTAAAATGATAATATCCTGGATATACTCAGTTAAAATATATTGAAACTAATCTCACCTGTTTCATCTTACTTTTTTAATATGGCTACTCGAGAATTACATACATAGCTCATATTATATTTCTACTAACTAATA